TAATATTCTTTCTTTGTTCTGTATGTTTAGTGTTTTGATTATTATGTGGTGAGGGGACTTTTTCTGGTCCAATCTATTTGGTGTTCTGTAAACTTCTTGTATCTTTAAAGGCATGTCCTTCTTTAGGTTAGGAAAATTTTCTTCTATGATTTTGTTGAATATATTTTCTGGGCCTTTGAGCTGGGATTCTTTTCCTTATCTTTCTATTACTCTTAGGTTTGGTCTTTTTTTCCTGGATGTTTTGAGTCAGGTTTTTTTTTTTTTTGACTTAACATTTTCTTTGACCAATGTATCAATTTCCTCTATTGTATCTTCTATTCTGTTGGTGAAAATGGTTATTAAGGTTTTTAACGCTTGAGAGGAGGCAGTCGAGTCTTCCCAGTAAGGGACAAAAGGCTATGCAATCTCATGCCTTGACAGCTGCTCTGAGGCTAGCAGCACTCCCACAGAGGGCCAAAGGGATGTCCACAAGGCTCCATCCCACCTAAGAATCTGCCACTTCTTTGCATTCTTGCAAGACAACTCTTCTCATATGCTTTTCTAGTCATACCTGTTTGTCTGGTGCCTTTACTTGGCCATGATATCCTCAGTCACTTTGGGGACACCCTCTCCTTGGCCCGAATTCTAGACAAATTTTTATGTTTAGTTTGCCAGCTCACAAATAACCACATGGAGACTTCTTATTTTTTATGAATGCTTGGCTGATAGTTTAGGCTTGTTTCTAACTAGTTCTTATAGCTTAAATTAACCCATATCTTTTAATTTACATTCTTCTATGTGGCTAGATTACCTTTATCTTGCAAAACCCGTGTTGCTTGCTCTGCATCCCTGGCATCTCCTCATAACTCTCTCCTTCTTCTCCCAGACTCCTCTCTACCCTGAAAATCCTGCCTAGCTATTGGATGTTCAGCTTTTTAAATTAAACCAATCTAAATAATTGGTTTAATACACAATGTACAAAAATATTATCCCACATCATGTCCCCGTTTTTATCTAAATAAAAAGGAAAGATTCTAACTATAACATAGTAAAAGTACATATACTAAGAACAATTATCAGGTAAGAATTACATTTACAAAGTCTAGTCCATTTGTATTTGGCATATTGGGAGAAAATATTCCATTATTTATTCTATCTGGATGAGTCTAAAGCTATGTACCTAACTTATCTTCTATCATAACTAAAGAAAACTATGACTATGACTAGTCTTCAACTCTGTAAAAGATCCCAGAAGGATATAATGCTTAGTAAAACTTTTGTTATGCATTTCTAGCTTAATATTGTTTATTGCTTGTAATTTTATATTTGGTTTTTGTTCCTATTGTATATTGTTGTATTGGGTTTGGATTGATCTTGTTTAGACAAAAGGGGGAGATGATGGGGAAGCTCAACCAATCACATTTGGTTAGGGTGTAGCCACCTGGAGCCCAGGTAGAAAAACTGGGAGATGCAGGTGCGCGCCCTCTCTTTTTGTGGTGCCCACCGGACCTATCAGATTTCAGAACTCCCATTCTTGTAGTGTAAGTTTTTCCCTCTTTAACCGTTAAAGTATTCCTGTTACTCTTGAGCTAGCCTGGTTACTTATCATACTGACCTAATTCGCTACATTTGATAATTATTGATGACTATTAAACTGTATTTATTATCCTAAATAGCTTTCAAAGACTAAAACTTTACATAACCTTTAAAAATGAACATAGGCACAATACTTTAAACAAGAATAGGAACATATATACAGAATTACAAAAGTAACCTTACATTTGTATCAATTTACAAAAGTCTATACCAATGTAAAAATATTTGAGGCTAGTGGTTGATTAAAAGTAGACTCAACAATCTATTCTTTTTATCTCATATTTTTATACTATATCCCCCTTTTTTCTTTCAGAAAGAGATCCTTGAATCTAATCCTTTATTTAGCTTGTTTTCCTGACCATGGCCAATAACAACTTGTAACCAATCCCCTAAATAATGACAAACATCAATAACCCATCAAATGACCAAAAGTCATCCATCCCACCTCTTGGGAATGTGGGCATCATGTTCTCTAGACTGCTTCTTATTGTCTGTGGGTATTGGCATCTCCAGGAGACCCTGTGAAAATTGGAATAATGATCAAGTCCTGGAATAACTAGGTGTGTTATTTGTTGTTCAGTCTCTGTGCAATGGGAAAATGCAAATCTTATCTGAAGTCATGGCTGGAACAGTCTCTGAGGCTGGACCATCTCAGCCAGCAGCCTTGAAGTTGTTCTGAATGCAGAGGCATTCTGAGATGCTGGATCACCTGGACCACCCATTTTCATTGGTGTCTGGTATTGGCAGAGGTTTCTGTTCCTCTTGGTCCCACAACTGTTCAGTACCGAAGAAACACACAGAGGCTTACATTAATTATAAACTGGTTGTACTATTAGCTCAGGCTTCTTATTAACTCTTACATCATACTTTAATCCATAATTCTTGTCTGTGTTAGCCATGTGGCTTGGTACCTTTTATCAGTGAGGCATTCTCATCTTGCTTCCTCTGTGGCTGGGTTATGACTGCTGACTGACTCTTTCCTCTTCCCAGAGTCCTCCTATTCTGGTTGCCCTGCCTATACTTCCTGCCTTGTTGCCCCGCCTATACTTCCTACTGGCCAATCAGTGTTTTATTAAAATACTACAACTGATAGATCTTTATAGGGTACAAGACCATTGTCCCACAGCAGTCTGGTCTCCTTGCTGTGAAATATATGAACTTTCAAAGTTAACATATATGTTTGCATTAACACAAGTATGGAATGTGTTGTGAGGAATGCACAATTCAGTTAGAGATGATTTTTTGCTTTATGTTTAAGTGGGTAAAAAGCATCTGTTACTTTATAAGTTCGTTTGGATTGTGTAATCAAACTGTAATATAAATCTCTATCCATATGAAAGGATGGCATGGATAGAGAGTCATGAGGACTCTGTAACCAACAAGATTTATCATGTGTCAAGTCAGAGCTGTTCCCATGTCAAGGGATCAGCTTACACATCACCTGCCTTGTAGTTGTGATCTTAACCTCTTTGCTCATATTTTTACTCCTTCCACTCTTCAACTGGATTTTGGGAGCTCAGCCCAGTGCTCTGCTGTGGGTCTCTGCATCTGCTTCCATCAATTGCTGGATGAAGGTTCTATGATAACATTTAAGATAGTCATCAATCTGACTACAGGGCAAGGTCAGTTTGGGCACCCTCTTCATTATTGTTTAGTGTCTTAGCTGTGGTCATCCCTTTGAATTCCTGGGACTTTCTCTAGTGCCAGGTTTCTTGCTAGCCCCATAATGGCTCCCTCAATGAAAATATGGTAAAAAACAATGAGATCTTGAAATTTGTATGTAAATGGATGGAACTAGAAAAAACTGTCCTGAGTGAGGTAACCCAGACCCAGAAAGATGAGCATGATATATACTCACTCATACATGGATATTAGCTGCAAAGCAAAGGATAATGGGCCTGTAGTCCATAAAGAAGCTAAGTAACAAGGTGAGCCCTAAGAAAAACATACATAGATCCTCCTGGAAAAGGAGAATAGACAAGATCTCCTGACAAAATTGAGAGCATGGGGGTTGGGGAAGAATAAAGGGTGGAAGTAGAGGAGGAGCAGAGAAGGGGAGAGAGAGGAGAACTTGAGGGAATGGAATAATCGAGATGGAAGAAGGACAGAGATGAGAGCAAGGAAAGAGATATTATGATTGAGGGAGCCATTATGTGGTTATCAAGAAACGTGGCACTAGAGAAATTCCCAGGAATCCACAAGGATGACCACAGCTAAGACCCTAAGCAATAGTGGAGAGGTTACCAAACTGGCCTTGTCCTGTAGTCAGATTGATGACTATCTTAAATATCATCACAGAACCTTATCCAGCAACTCCTGTAGCAGATCACTGTGCTGAGCTTCAAAGTCCAGTTGAAGAGTGGGAGGAGTGAGAATATGAGCAAAGAGGTCAAGACCATGATGGGGACACCCACTGAAACAGTTTTATTACTTACTTTATTATTTACTTGAGCTAATGGGAGCTCACAATTCCAGTCAGACAGGGAAAGAACAAGCACAGGACCAAACTAGACCCTGTGAATGTGGGTGACAGTTGTATGGCTGGGGCAGACTTCAGTGTCTCTAGCAGTGGCACCAGGATTTATCCCTACTTTTTGGAACCCATTCTCTTTGAAGGGATACCTTGCTCAGCCTAGATATAGTAGGGAGGTCCTTGGGCCTTCCTCAAAGCAATGTGCCTTACCATCTCTGAGGAGTGGATGGGGGGAGGTGGGTTTGGAGTGAATGTGGAGGAAATGGGAGGAGAGGAGTGAGTGGGAACTGGGATTGTTATGTAAAATGAAAAAAGATAGTTGTTTTCTTTTTTAAAAAAATTAAAATTAAAAATAAGAAACTTGCAGAAAAAAAACATGCCTATGTTAGTCAGTTTCTTTTACCCTTGAGATACCATTCCCAAGCTAGTCTTTGCTTGTTATAGAAGTCCTATTCTGAACCCTGAAAGAATACTGAGGCTGGCACTCTGTAGCTCCCCATACTTGCTCCCATGCCAATGGACCCAGCTGCTCCTGAACCCACCACACTCTCCCTGGGGGGCCAGGTACTCCTCAGGTAGTTATCTTCTATGTCTCTAGAGCCCCAGTGGACAGGACCCTGCCCTGTGATCTTCATCACCCTGTCAACTGCCAAGTTCCTGGGACGTACGTGCTGGTACTACCTCTCCAGGCTCAAGCAGGCACCTACCCAGGATGAATGGTCTCTCCAGCAACTGGGACCCCTCCACGCTCTGTTTTTTGTTTTTTGTTTTTTTTTTTTTCCAGAAAGTCTCAGTGAGGGGCTGTGATGGTCAAGCCTATTTGCTCTTGTGTCTTGTTCATTCACCTTTGTCTCTTTTGTCTTCTGGACTAGATTTTCCCCTCAAAATGTTCATGCCCTTTAACCTAAAGCCTTAGCCTTTGCTATGACACCAAGGTGTAAATCTGTCCCAGCTGTCTTACAGATACCCGCATGGTCCTGGGGAAGGAGTGCTGCTGCTGCTGCTGGATCAACAAGTCTGGCCTGAAGCAAGCTAATATCGAGTCACTCCACACATTGTGTGAAGAACTTTTCCAATACAACCAGGGAAAAACTCTGTTCTGTTCTTTCTGGCAGTCTTCACTCTTCCCATGGCTAGATCCACCCATAGAGACAGTTGTAATCGTCTGTTTTTCTTTTCTCCAAGCAACTTGTCCTCTCTGCTTCCTCCACGAAGATTTGTGAGGTCTCCAAGGTGGCAGTTAACCAAATGTTCTTTACCCATGCCTTTTGCCAAGTGTCAGCTCACTATCTCCTGACTCTCCCTCCCCACATTGTCCCAGGTCAACAGGAAGTAGCCAGATTTGAACAAACACCCGAATAATCAAAAAGATCAGAATGTTCAGTTGGAACATCCAACTTAGCCCTTCATGTTCTGGAAAGTCCCATTCCTGTTCCTCTCTCCAAACCTTGCCCACTCAGAGAGCCTCTGAACAACAACAACAACAACAACAACAACAACAACAACGACAGCCCAGTTCTGCATTCTTGGTGGCCACTACGGCTTCCTCCCCTGAAGTTGCCAGCTGCCCAAATCCCCATCTAATGTGCTCAGCTTTTGGTCATACTTGTGTTCAGATGTCAACCTACCAGAGGAATGATTCTCTGAGGGAGGAGAATCCCAATCAAGCAAGGCCTGTGGGACCACTGACTCTGGAAACTGTTGCTCCTATCTGTAATTTTACACGTGCAAAAGCATCTACGGTGTCTCCATAATACCTGCACTGTAGTGTGTAATCTCATGTGATATGTATATGTAATCTTATGATTGCATCTCATTCTTATGGTACATATGTACATGGATGATCAGGAAGATTAGTTCTCATTAATCTATATAATTTTGATTTATAGAAAATATACTAGGATGTGCTTTATAACTAGATTTATTGTCCCACTCAGACTAACACAAGAAAACAACTTCTCCCCAGTCTGAGACAAACTACACACAATTAGCTCATTTTTACCTCAGAGCAAGTTCAAACTAGATCTTAAGTTAAAAACTTTACAGAAATGCACAAGGAGAAAGTCACAGATGTTAAACCAAGGTTATTAATACAAATCAACCTAAAAATCATGCCGATCCTTTGTTTGCTAACTGTGTCTGATGAAGACTTATGTCTTGCAGCTTGTCTCTCTGGGCAATGTGCCTTTGGCATTTGGTCACAGTATTACACCAGAAACCTTGGGACCTTGCATTGTCATGGCAAATGGATTTGTTCTTATTGTTTACTCCAAGAATGTACTGATCTTTAGAGATAACTTTGTAACTTTTTTCTTATTGCCTCAAGTCTCTTGTAAAATGTGTACATAAGCAAGGTGATCAGGGAACTGGAACTAAAGAGAACCAGAGATAATTAGAACAAGGAAATTAGAGTTGCAGAATGGACAAGAGAATGACCCTCAGATTGTGTGTCAAGTTATTATAGAAATCTTTCAGTCCTCACTCTGTAGAAGCATTTTCTGAGTTACCCTGGGTAGTGGCTTGGAAACTGAACTTTCTGGGTTCTAAAGACATCGAGGAAGAAAATGCCAATGCCTTTAAAATCCAACCTCACCACCCATCTTTCCTGCAGTCATATAAACAGACTCAAGTTTAAGCGGATCCCAGAAATGAGGTACATAGTATGACACACGAGGAATTATTGATCAGGGGAATACGAGACTCCCCCAAACAATACAGAATATTGTTTACCATTGCTCTTGGTGCCTTTCAGAGAAAGAAGGTAAGACCCTATTGCTAAAGATGTCACACACTCCAGACACAGGACTTGGGGGAATCAGTCTGGATCTGACCTGAAGCTTTGTCTCTGGAGATGTGCTCTCAGCTTCCTGAGGAGCCATGCGATCTGTGAGTTGCTCATGGGGAAAAGTAATCTATATGCCACCCGGCTGTAAAGCCTATGAATTGCAAAAATGACAAGTCATATTCCTAGAGGTGTAGTGGCAACACTTTAAAAAAAATACAGACCAATCTCCCTCACGAACATTGATGCAAAAACATTCAATAAAAGAATGGCAAACTGAATCCAAGAATACATTGGAAAAATCATCAAGCATGATCAAATAAGCTTCATCCCTGAAATGCAGGGATGGTTCAACATATAAAAATCTGGCAATGTTATCAACCATATAAACAAACTGAAAAAAGAACCATATTATCATCTCATTAGATAATAACAATGCCTTTGATAAAATTCAACATCACTTCACAATAAAGGTTCTGGAGAGACCAGGGATACAAGGAACATACCTAGATATAATAAATGCAATATACAACAAGCTGACAGCCAACATCAAATTAAACAGAAAGAAACTCCAATCAATTACACTGAAAACAGGGACAAACATGGCTGCCCACTCTCTCCATATCTACTCAATATAGTACTTGAGGTTCTAGCTAGAACAGCAAGGCAACAAAAACAGATCAGAGGAATATGAATGAGAAAGGAAGAATTCAAACTTTCACTATCTACAGATGATATGATAGTATACATAAGTGACCCCAAGAATTCTACTTGAGAGCTCCTACAGCTGATAAACACCGTTAGTAATGTGGCAGGATACAGGACTAACTAAAAAAAAATTAGTAGCCCTCCTATATACAAATGATAATTGGACCAAGAAAGAAGTCAGAGAAACTAAACCCTTTACAATTGCCACAAACAATATAAAATATTTTGGGGTAGCTCTAGCCAAGCAAATGGAAGATCAGTATGATAAGAACCTTAAATCTTTAAAGAAAGAAGTTGAAGAAGATGTCAGATAATGGAAAGGTCACCCATGCTATAGATCAGTAAGATTAACATAGTAAAAATGGCAATCTTACCAAAAGCCTTCTTCAGATTCAATGCAATCCCTATCAAAATCCCAATACACTTCTTCACAGACCTTGAAAGAGAAATACTCAACTTCAATAACCCCAGAATAGCCAAAACAATCCTGTACAAGAAAGGAACTTCCAGAGGCATCACCATCCCTAACTTCAAACTCTACTACAGAGCTACAGTCATGAAAACAGCTTGGTATCGGAACAAAAATACCAGGTGGACCAATGTAATCGAATAGAAGGTCTTGATAGTAATCCATAATTGTTTTAATCCTTGATATTAATCCACCTGATTGTTGACAAAGAAGCCAAACTTGAACAATGGAAAAAAGAAAGCATCTTCAAAAAATGGTGCTGGCATAACTGGGTGTCGACATATATCAGAATGCAAATATATCCACCTATCTGCCTGCACAAAACTCAAGAAATGAATCAAAGACCTCAGCATATATCCAGTCACATTAAACACTGTAGAAGGGAAATAGCCATGAACACATCGGCACAGGAGACCACTTTCTGAATATACCAGTAGCACAGACACTGAGATTGACAATTGATAAATGTGACCTCCTGAAACTGAGAAGCTTCTGTAAGACAAAGGACACAATCAACAAGACAAAATGGCAGCCTATACAATGGGAAAAGAACTTCACCAAACCCACATCTGACAGAGCTGATCTCCAAAGTACACAAAGATCTCAAGAAACTAGATATCAAAATACCAAATAATCCCATTATATAATGGGATTATATAACCCCCATTATATAATGGGGTACAGATGTAAACAAAATTCTTAACAAAAGAATCTCGAATGACTGAGATAAATTGAAGGAAGTATTCAACTTCCTTAGCTCTCAGGGAACTACAAATCAACACGACTCTGAGATATTATCTTACAGCTGTCAGAATGACCAAACTTAGAAACGCTAATGACAGCCTATGTTGGAGATGATGTGGAGTCATGGGAACTGTTAAATTGCTATCTTATCTGGGGTCATACTTGTGGCCTCCTGGAATTTTCCTGGCACTATGTTTCTCACCAATCCCACAATGGCCCCCTCTGTCAAGATATCTCTCCCATTGCTCTCCCCTTCCCTCCTGCTCCCAAATCAACCATCCTGAACAATCATGTTCCCATTCCCCCATCCACTCTTTTCTCTTCCCCTCAACTCCCACTGGTGGAAGTGTAAACTTGTACAACCTCTTTGGAAATTGATATGGTGGTTTCTCAGAAAACTGGCAATTTACCTCAAGAGCCAGGGATACCACTCTTGGGTGTATACCCCAAGGATTCTCAACCACACCACAAGGCCACTTGCTCAACTATGTTCATAGCAGCAATATTCGTAATAGCTAGAACCTGGAAACAACCTAGATATTCCTCAATTGAAAAATGGATAAGGAAAATGTAGTATATTTACACAATGGACCATTATTCAGCAGAAAAGAGCAATGACATCAAAATTTGTAGACTGTAGGGCCTGGTCTACCCTTGCTCCTTGGGGTGCATCTTGAAGACAGGTTTTGGTTAGCCGGCTAAGCATCCTGTTTATTTCTGTGCTCCCTCTGCCCTAGCCTGGTGATTAGCTGAAGGGCATTGTTTCATCTTTGGTATGGTAATTTCCCACCTGCCTAGGAGGAAATCCTTATGCAGCATCCAGGTATACTAGGTTTTCCCCTAGACTGAGTAAAGGTTGATAGGTCCAGGTATGATAGATTTTCCCCTAGGCTGATCTCCTTTCGAATGACCCAGGTCTCTTGTGTGTTTCTTTCAATCTCCAGGCCTTTTCCCGAACTCATGATTGGTACCGAGGGGGTAATGCAGAATCAGATGTTACAGTAGACAAATGGATGGAACTATAAAAAAAAAATCATCCTGAGTGAGGTAATCCAGCCACAAAAAAGACAAACATGGTATGTACTCACTCATAAGTAGTGGATATTAGATATAAACCAGAGAATAAACAGCTTACAATCCTCAGCCCTAGAGAGACTAGGTGGCAAGGAGGACCCTGAGAGGGATGTGTGGATCTCTTTGGGAAGAGAAAAATGGATGGGGTGTCCTGGGTAAACTGGGAGTGGGTGGGAGGAGAAAGGAGAGGATGAGGGGTGAGTACAAGATGGATCAGGATGGTTGGGTTTGGGGCAGGAGAAAGAGGGAGAGTAATGGGAGAGATATCTTGATAGAGGGGGCCATTGTGGGGTTGGCGAGAAACCTAGTGCCAGGGAAACTCCAGAAATCCACAAGCATAATCCCAGGTAAGCTTCCTGACAGGAGCAGAGAAATGCCTGAACTGGCCTCCTCCTGTAATCAGACTGGTGACCAATTGTCATCATGGAGTCTTTGTCCCGTCCTGATGGAAGTAAATGCCGAGATCCACAGCCTAGCACTGGGCCCAGCTCTAGGAGTCCAGTTGAGGAGAGGGTGGAGAAATGAGCCAGGGGGCTGTCGAGATCACGGTAGGGAAACCCATAGAGACAGGGGACCTGAGCTTGTGGGAGTTCACAGACTCTGGATGGACATCTGGGGATTCAGCGTGGGACCTTCCTCAGTCCTCTGCTTCTGGGTGACAGATGTGTAGCTTGTACTTTTGTGGGGCCTCTGACAGTGAGACCAGGACCTCTCCTTGATACACGGGCTGGCTCTTTGGAACCTGTTCCCTATGGTGGGATGCCTTGTTCAGCCTTGGTTCAGGGGGGAGAAATTTGGTCCTGCCTCAGCTTGGTGTGCCAAATTTTGCTGATTCCCATAGGAGGTCTTATCTATCTGAATAGAGATGGAGGAGGGGTGGATGCAGGGGTGGGAGGGGGGCTGGGGTGGAGAGAGCAGAAGGAGAGGAGGGAGGGGGATCTGCGGCTCGTATGTAAAATAAATACGAAAAGATGATTAAAAATTAAAAAAAGATTATTGATGTGGAACATTTTGTGATTCTACTACAAAAATATCTTTTAAGGAAGTAAATGGAGGCTGGAAAGATACGCCTGAGGTCAGGAGCCCATAATGCTCTTGTAGAGGACATGGTTTCGGACCCCAGGATGATTTCAGCTCAAAAGCACCTGTAGCTTCAGTTCTAGAGGATCCCATGCTGTCTTCTAACATATGCTGGTTCATACATGCCTGTGATACACATAAACATTCTCAGGCACACACATACGAATAAAAATAAAATGAATAAAAATTAAAAAAGACAAAAAGGGTTCACAATGCTAAGAATAGAAGGAAAACATGTAAAAACAAATAGTTTAACTTCTTCATAATAATAAAGAATAATTGGAAATTCAAACACTAAAATATAATTTACAATAGACTACAGCAGGAAATGCTTTGGTACTTCTTGTACAAACGCAAAGGAAGCAAGATGAAAATGCCTCACAGAGAAAATGTACCAAGCCATGTGGCTAAACATAGACAAGAATTATGGGTTAATTTAAGTTATAAGAGTTAGTTAATAATAAGCCCGAGTTAATAGGCCTAACAGTTTATAATTAAATTAAGCTCCTGTGTGTTTCCTTGGGACTGAACAGCTGTGGTACCAGGCAGGTCAACAAATGGTGCCTAAATGTTTGGCAAGAATTTCCACATAAAGCCTGAGAAAGCTTTTAAAAAAGGATGCTAGACAGACGAGGACAGAGTCAAGTGCAGCTTCTTGGTAACTGTCTTTTCTCCAGTAGTCTTCACTTGTTGACAGCAAGCAGAGACAGGGCTCCTTTAAGAGAGGCTTTCTGACTCAGCATTAGCAGCAAAAATGTCACAGCTCTTTCAAGAGGCCATGCCAGCCTGGCAGCGGTGGCACACGCCTTCAATCCCAGCACTCAGGAGGCAGAGGCAGGCAGTAGATCTCTGTGAGTTTGAGGCCAGCCTGGTCTACAAGAGCTAGTTCCAGGATAGACTCCAATGCTATAGAGAAACCCTGTCTCAAAAAACAAAACAAAACATGTTGAGATGCCGAGAAGAGGGTGACCTTTTCCCACACGTGTTTTGCCATCGCAGCTGTAAAGACAGACAGACAGACAGACTTCCTCATGAATGCACTCACGAGGTTAGAGAGAGCTAAGATCCTTTTCTGGTGATCTAGAGCCTTTAGGTACCATGAGTTCTCCCCTGCTGTGTCTGCATCTGAGACTTTGGTGCAAACATCAGAGCTGGTGCTGGGCCAGCATCTGGCTTTTTGCCACAGACAGCAAGAACACAGAAAAACACCTGCGACCCATCTGTCCAGGGAATGACCTTTGGAATAATTTCCACTGTGGACTTGCCTGGCAGGTACAAGCCTGCAGGAGCCAGGGCTTGGGGAAGACCTCCCGTGGGGCAGAGGTTATTTTGGATTGCTTCATACAGTCAAGGCTGTCCAGATATATCAATATTTCTTGATGTTGGCAGATACCTCTGAACTCTTAGCTGCAGGACAAAAGCCTTTCACAGACCAGAGAATGTGGTGAGATCCTGAGGAACCTTAGACCTGGCTGGCCTCTCTCCCAGGGTCTGATCATCTGCAATACATTGAAGGCTGTCATTTAGGGAACTAGCTAGATAGTTTCCTAGTTTCAAAACCCCTCAGTGTACACTGATGTTTAAAATTAGGCTGTTCCTTCTCTCGCCTGTCAGTTGTTCCAGATATATTGACAGAGTTTGGGACACTTATGAGCATGAGGGTTGTGTCAGAAAAATATGGATACACATCCATTAATACTTCTGATGTCTGCTGAGGAGGTCACAACTTCATGTTTATCTATCTATCTATCTATCTATCTATCTATCTATCTATCTATCTATCTATCTATCTA